CTCATAAACATCCTTAAGCAAATACTGTGCAATGGTTTCCCTAGTTTTTCAATTTTAGTAAAATCATCAGCAAATAACAGGTCATGAACGCATAAGTAACTGGTGGCCAAAGGAACAGGTCGATGGCAAACTAACCGGGTGCTTATGCTTCCTAGGTACATATATTACAACCAAATGAAGTGTGGATGCACCTGGAACAAAAAAAGTAAGATACACATCAATAAAATCAGAAACATGGGTGTACTAAATGGACAAGCAAGTATCAGAAGGGAATAATAAATGGATAAGAACGAAAATAGACAAAATACGCACGAAATTAGCAGGGACGAGCAAACAAGGAGGAGCACGGATCCTGGAACCTCCGGAGCTGACGCAACCCCTTTGACACGCTGCGTCCCCAAGGTCGAAAGCAATGGAGACCCTTTGGACGTGTTCATCACACCTACTGCTGCAGGGATCTGAGAGAAGGAAGGCATCAAATTTGGGGATCCTTGGGGAACCCTAAGGAAGAGAAGGAAAAAGCTAAAATCAATCCCAAAAACAATAACAAAACCAGATGAGAAGAAGTAACAAGAATGTGTATAGGTAGCTAGGGTTTCGTCAAGCAGAGAAGCACACGCTCCCCCGCGGGAGGAGGCATTGAGGAGCCCACGCGGATAATGAGGGAGAGGGAGGGGGCTGCCAGGCCACACCCGTGCCAGAGCGCCGCCCGTGGGGGCGCCATCGCCTCACGTCCGGCGCCACCTCGGGAGGGAGAGAGAGGAAGGGGAAGGAGGAACGGAGATGAGAGGTAGGCAGGGAAGGGAGGAATGGAGGAGGAGGAGGAGGAGCAGGAGGAGGAGGGTGGGCCACCACGGTAGCCGCCGTCGCCCCTGCCCGTGTCGGGGAGAGACGGGGAGAGCGAGAGAAACATCGAAGAAGAGAGAGGAGGGGGTAAGAAGCTGGATAGAGAAGCAGAAGCTAGGGTATATATTTGCTTCTCTAGATTTAGAAGAGAAGTGGAGGATGTAGAGGAGAAGTGGGAGAATCCAAAGAGAAGCGCGAGAAGCCACTTTCGATAGAATCCGCTCCAAGTGATCTAGGCCGCATGATCGAAGATCTGACGGCCGAAAAAATTAAAGGTGACATGGACGGTGGTTCTCTGGAGGAGCCCTACGGGTATTCTAGGGGAGAACTAGTGGAATGTGCGCGCCCCGTGCGCGAGAGCAAAGGAGCCTAGTTGGGTTTTTTCATGGACATATACTGTGCTAGAGTGACATAGGGAACTTCAGAATAGAACCACACATGTGTATGTATGGCCTACTGGTCGAGTACTACATAATATGAATTGAGCACAACCTAAAACTATCAATTTGTAAATATTTGTCACATACAGTCTGTGAACTAGAATTGGAAAATAGCATCAAACAGAGGGAGGTAGATGATACATGGCTTGCTTAATATTGCTATGAGGATCCAAGAGCAATGGATGGTAAAATAGAATAAAACAGGACGAGGAATGTAGCTGAAAGAGTACTTTCTATAGATTTATCTTAGGCATGTTTCATCTAAAAAGAATGCATTGCTTTCACTGGTCCAGACAAATTTTAGTAAATACAATAGCTTAACGTGTAGAAGAAATTACATGTGCTTTGGATCGGCAATGCTTGATAAAATCTTTTTTTTCTTCGATCAACAGTGGGGCATCCTACATAGAGGAAAACAGCAACATAACAGCATATATGAGAGGAAGCACAAAAATCAATCAACAATAGACCACCAAATGGACAGATGTAGCGGCAGCTGGTGTGAGCTTCTAAAGCAGCAGAAGGGTTATAGATGACCTTTTTTGTTTTGAGCCAAGGGTTGTAAGTAAAATTGATTAAAGATGTGGCATTGGCTTACCTGTTGGGCAATAGCTTTGACCTTCGAATAATTTTCTGCATGGTGCATCTGTATGTTGCCCTGATCTGTATTTAGCTAGAGCTAAAAATCTGAGATGAGTTGAATGGGAGGGCGCCGCCGCCGCTGCACGTGTTGACTGTAACTGACTGTTGGTCAGCGCACCAAAACATTAGTTCGAGCAATTTTCACTTACAATTCAGCATAGGAATCTAGAAGAAAATAGCTATATGAATGCCTGTGTAAATGAAATAAGACATGTATAAAGGTTCATGAGGTACATTAGATCAAAATAAAAAGATCATACAAAGGGCTACGCTACATCTATCTGTGTTAGCATTATGGGTGTTTTGTGTGAATGGCTAAATGATTTATTTAATCTATGAAGCAAACAATAAAGACTGGACAATCATATGTCTTTGTTCAGTCATGGATATTCTGGTAAATAGCTGTAGAAGAACGAAAAGAGTAACACACTTCATATCTTGGCCGAAGTCACAAATTCGTAAGCAAGTCATGAAAATGCAGATAATTATATGGTGATCCATAAACATTTGAAGTCTCAACAGTTAATCATGGGTATATACTTAAGAGAAACAAAACAATCTGACCACAAGATGCAAAACATTACATTCAAAATATTCTGATTTTTATTGACAGGTTAGGCAGTGGCTCACTATTTTGGCAAACCTGTTGCACAAGATGGTGCTTTTTCGCCGTCTTCATTGTTTATGAATGATGTCTAAGTTGTACATTATTCTTTCTAACATTACCAGTTGGAGATATTAGTGCATGCAATATTAGGCTCTCAGTTAATAATATTGTGCTCCAGGATTTTGTGGCTTGCCAAAAGTGCTCTACAAATATTAAGAAGTATTTAGAAGCATTAAAATATGGCCATATATTTTGAAGCTGATCTTGTAAGACCCAAGAAAATAAAGGACTATTTCACGGTTATGAAGCTCTTCACCTATCAGAAAGCCTTGTCTGCATCACAAGACAGGTATAATATGAGAGCATTATCTTATATATATTGACTAAAATAAGAAAGAAGCACTATGTTTTTAAATTTTGCAAAAAAACTGAATGAAGAAACATTGTTGGCTTCTTACTTTTTCACATCGTCACTAATCCACAAGCAGATCATATATGGCAAGATGCAGCACCTGATTACTTGAGGAGGTGCCTAATGGGCAGTGCATCCACGTATATATTTCATCAAAAATCTTGAAGGCATTCTCCCAAGTATTCAGGGTAGAGGAGGCACTGCTAATGAATCAGCACAGTAATGGACGCATTCAACATGTGCTTTGATTAGGTTTGAATCATAAACTGTCTGTGACCTTTATTGAAATGAACAAAGTATGAATTGGAAAGCACAGAGAAGAAAAACCATCTTACAAAACGCATGCTCTCCCTATACATAAAACCAGAATACATAGTTAATCTAAGAGTAAGCTAACAATGGCACTATGTTGGGTAAAAACAAAAAATGAGTAGGTAATCTAAGAGGAAATTAACAATGGCATAGACAATAGTATTAAACATATATTTCATGAGACATGAAGTCACTGACCAATCCTAGGAGCCCCTAGGGCGCGAAGCATCCACATAAATTCAGATCGAGATAATCAAATTGAGACATGTAAAGACCAACAACTATAAGCAATCCGATGCCAGACAAACATCAGCAGATACCACATAGGAAATCTAAAAGAATAAGAACATAGAGCAATCGAAAGAAAGGACCAAGTCACCTCGGATTTTGCTAGGCTACATGAACAGATTTATAGAAAGAACCCCTTGTCTTCCTTGACCACCTTGCATAATATAAGCATCAACAACCAGCAAAGGGAAACAGGAAACCTGCAAATTCTCATGAACGTAGAAACTAAGAGAAGCACTGAAGCATGGACAATAGGTTCTGGAGACGAACGACGCAGCACAGATGCGAGGGGCGGTCGAAGCTTATATCAATCTCTGAAAGATAAACTTTTTCGCAGCATACAGTAAAAGGTTAAAAGCAGCAAGGTTCATGGTTTTGGCTGTAGCTGTAGCCTACTAAACAAATAGCAAGCATCAGAGTAATTACCGAAGGTATGTTATATGTGATATGTCCAGCAGCAACGCCAAAATCTGGGAGACCTCTCAATGAGAGACGAAGGCAAAGAAAAAATTATTGAAACAAAGATAGAACTATAAGGGAATCTTCGGTAGCTTTCTGATTAGCATAAAATCTCAGCCATAACCAGTTCAGTGCAAAGATCAAATCTAGATGATCGATAGACACCAGTGCAAAGGGCTATAAAAACAGAAGGGTAGTAAAATGAAAAAACAATAATGAATAGGGTAACAAGAGGCCTCTAAGTAGGACTAATTCAGTGCAAAGATCCAAGTGGAGCTGATCACATGTATGGAGCATTTTTAAATTCACCGCAACGACAATAATATATGTACTGAAAAAAAGCAAGTGGATTTGCAAGCAAGTGTATGTACTGAAAAATCACAAGCATAACCAATTCAGTACAAAGATCGAATGCAGCTGATCGACAAGACCTTAGGTCCGGATGTTCCAAACCTGCAAGAAAGAGGATTTGCAAGAAATTGGACAGAGATGGATAGGAATAAATACATCATTGGCACTGAGGTGTGGTCAGTAATAGAACAACGAACAAATTATGTGAAGTAAATACATCACTAACAAAGTACCTATGGTCAGCAACAAGCGCACAAAATGTAGCAATTAATGAAAACGAAATAACACATGCAAAAGCGAATTGCTAAGATACAATGACATAGTCATCACAGAACTAATAAAATAACAAGAATCATGGAAGAATGAAAGAACTAACCATCATTGCACAATTTCATTGTCTCAGTCTAAAAAAGTTCATCATCCCACAACCCCAGAACCTCAGTAAATAAAATGTAGAATAAAACAACTCATCATCATTGTACAATGAAGGATATCAGTTCTGCACATGATCCGCGTATTTAAAGACAAGAGAAGCGCAGGAGCAAACGGCCTCCTAGGGGAGGGTGGCCAAGATCCTCGCAGTGAGGAGAGGGAGCTAAGGGAGGAAGGGAAGGGGGAGAAGGGGAGATAGCGCCCCTCCGCCATGCACAACAGGGCAGATGTGCCAGTGTGGGGCTCCTCCAGCGATGAAGGCCGGCGAGCTAGATCCACACACTTACCCGGCCCCCGCACTGGCAAAGAGAGCACGCACTGGAGAAATTGGTTACTCCCTGAGCACATGAGAAGTATACAGATCGTGGGCTAACCCACAACATAAAGAAATTGCTTGTAAGGCCTGTCAAGCCGCTACACACCGCAGGCACAGCTTAGTGCAATTCATAAATTTCAGTGTTCCCATTAGAACAAATAATAGAGAATCAATGTGCAATCATTGTAACAAGGGATAAGAAGGCCTTTCAAAGAAAGAAGTGTCGACAAACCAGGAAAATAACCTCACATCTAAATGATCGCTACAAATGCTATATAGTAACTCATGTATCGAATTGACATCATAGCGGACACAACTACTATCACCCTATAGGCTTTTTCCATATTGATTTTATGAATTTCCTATTTCCATGTCAAAGGTGTGGTAACCACTGCAATATACCATCAATCAGTTCATTGGCAAAGGCGATAAACTTTGTTAATAAGCAAAATAGGATCGCTTGAATGCCAAACGACAGGAAACACGTGAATAGGAAGGTAAAGAAAAAAAAAAAAACAATGTACTCACCCAGAGGCAATGGCTTGTAGAAGGACCATTTATTGGTTGTATCACTACTAAACACCAACTGGGCACGGCACCTGGAGGAGGAAAGCAATCAGTGTTTCCAGCTTGGAATGTGACACTACCAAACCAAAAGAACTTTACTGATTCAGGACATATCAGGATGGCTGTGATCTTTGATGTATGAAAGTAGAGGAACATCAGATCATTTGTAATAAGCAAAATAAAATTGGCACAAAAAGAACTAAGTGACAAGAATGTATGAGTGGGAAGCAAAGCATTAAAAAGAAGCTCTAAACCAAACATATTGGTTGTAATGAGTGGACAACAAATGCTCTGGGTACATACATTTCTCTCATCGGATAATATTTTGTATGATAGATTATATGCCTTCAGATCTCAAAATTGCATATATATTGTCATTTGATCCACTTCTAATGTCAGCGCAACTTATGTCAATTATCTATTAATGCTTTTGCTCATATTTTCAAGATTTCAGATATTGGAATGCGCAAGGTGTTGACATTGAGCTAGAAACCCGATGTACAGAAAGCGCAATAAAAAATGGATAAGAACAAAAAGCTGAAAGATATATACAGAGTATGCATACTTGGTAGCACCTTTTCAATTATTCTACAATCCTAATTAAGTAAAAGTAGAAGCAGCATCAAAATGCAATTAGTGCAAAGAATCACACAAGCTTCATTTCAAGATTTTCACTTTGCTAGTGAGAAACCTTCCATCACGGCCCTGTTTTCAAAAGTTTGACCTTACTTTGTTTTAGCCCCAAACTACAAAAGGTAGTCATAGAGCAATCAATCAAGAAGGACATCAAGTAATTGTTTTTTCATTTAGAATGAGAGGTTATTTAGTAACCAACACATTCTACCGTGAAGCGTCACCACAGTCTATTCTTATCAATGCACAAGGGACAAAGCACCTTTCACAATCTATTATTGAGCTAATTAAGTATACTAACCAAGAGGCAAAAGACAAACTTACCAATGCAATAAATGGTGAGAACCAGTCACCTTTCATTTAGGATTTTTACTCCACTGGGAAACCCTCCACTATCATCTTGGTCTTCAAAAGACAAATCCTGAATTTGTTTTAGTCTCCAAATGAGCCCTCTATAAACAAATTATATTTGTTCATCTTTATTTTCTCCAATCTTTTGCTTTTTTTCCCGTACTGTGAACTGCATGTATAGTTGATCCCTAGGAAGTACTGTGAATTGCATGCATATTGATCCCTAGGCAATAGCACACATAACAACTGAACTCAAACAACACTTAGATTAGTAGGCACACAAGAAGGGAAGAGAGGGCACAACAGGAAGGGAAGAGAAAGGGTGGGCGTACCTGGAGGAGCAAACGCAGACTGACGTGGCCAGGCAGCCGCGCCGAGCTGCGTCCGCAGGGGCCGCCGCCAGGGGGCGCCCGTGCTGGGGTTGCCGGCGCCATTGGTTTCAGATCTCTAAATTTTTGGCATTATATCTCTGTAACTTAAGTCAATCTAACCACCGGTTACAATTTGGTAAAAGATAGGAGGATACCGATTTCAGTTTGATTCAACACTCACCTCAAATTAAAAGTTTGTTGTAGGTTGATCCGATTTCATGGATGATATAGACTGTTCTGTGACGTAGTTTATTTGGGAACATGAAAATATTTGAGCTGTTAGTCTGCTGTGTGTGCCCTTTCTGTATATCTAAACAATTTTCTATACCTTTCCTATCTAAATTAGACATGCTCACCTAACAACTGAATATGAAAACAGTCGGTACCAGGAAGAATGAAGATGAAAACTTTCTCTACCACATCTACATTTTTTCGATTGGCTGTAAACGAAAAAACAGAGAAAGAGCAAACAGAGAAAGAGAACAAATAAGCATTAGCTACAAGTGAAAGTAGTGAGGAAATCTAGATAAGAGCGAATTTCAATATATCTGAGCCAATAAAAAAATTCCAATCTTTCATCCATTCATCTGAATTGTAGAACCCACATAATAGAGATTATCAGGCTGTACACAGTTACTCTTGGAATGACTTACAATTTGGGATGGAGGGAGTACCATAGAAAACCACCTTACCTCATATATCCAACATCCTTTGTTTTTTATGGAATTATCCAATATTCTTATTGCCCTATCTGGCATACCTCATGATCCAATAACTAGTAGGCTGTACAGTTCCTCATTTAGCATCAGTATTAGTAGAAGAAGCTTTATCTCTGACCCAATGATTAGCTCTGAATTAGTGGAACCAGGAACCAATGCAAACTCTTGCACCTTCTTGTCATTCACAATGGAATCGATTCCCCTCACCCTTTAGGCAATTCATGTTCAGAAGTGAAAAGCGGCTCACTGAATTTTTTGGGTGGTCTAGCAGAGCTTTCAGCTGGCAGTAGGTACCCAGAGCTCTGTTTTATTGGAGATCAGCAGCCAAAGCTAGCAGCTGCACTTGTAGCGGCTCACTGTTTTTTTTTTCAGTGATCTAGCAGAGCTTTTAGCTGGCAGTAGGTCACTATAGTTTTGTTTTAAAGTTGGTAGCTGGACACTTGTTGGACAATTTGTCAAGGCTAATGACCACTCGTTATGATGTTAATGCTGCCTCAAACAGAATTTGTCAAGGCTAATGACCACTCGTTATGATGTTAATCATTTTTTATTATTTGGTCAAGGATATGTACAGTTTTACGAATTATGTCACTCTAACTTGACTCTGATGGGTGGGCGCTCTTTGCAGATCACTCCTCCCATTTTGAAGCATTCAGTGAGGCGTTTCATTTTTTATGGGTGCTGATTTCGTGACGCTCATTGCCTGGAGCTGCTATAAGTACTTCAACTAGGAGATTTGAAGGTAATTATTGGAATCATAGTCCCCCTATGGTTTTCTATTTTTTAATCAGCGTTAATCTCAATTTTATCACTTTATCGTTGAATCTATCTTTCGGCCTTCAAGCTTTTCTCTTCATGACTCCATGAGTCTCCTGTGCCATATATCTTGCTTTGTGTACCGCCACATCTTCCACAGCAGAGAGATTTCTCTGCACATGGATCTCCCCCTTGCTATTGCTATGGAACTGCACTGCATTATTATTTTTTGCATATTACAACTCTATCACCAACATTTCAACCCTAGGCTAGTTTTTCTTGCTTCATCATATGTAGTTTTGTCTCCATTAAAAATTCGAATTTCTAGAAAAACACTTAATACTCCAACAGTTTCTAATTATGTTTTTTTCCTTTCATTAGGTATGCGACCAGTAGAGAGGTACAAGAGGAATTACCGACAGTTCACTTGGAACAATAGGATAGCTTATGGTGCACCTGTTTTAACTGGGAGGCGAGATACTGGGAAAGGTAAATTTCTACATTTAGATTTGTTTCCTATATTCAATACAAGGTCCAATTTATTGTCAGGTGTAAATGTTATTAATTCTTTTAACTTCTATAAACTTACATGCAGATGAATGTAGTTATTACTCAGTTATTGCTGCTTTGGAGTCAAATCTGCGAATTCAACAAAGTTTTGTGGACAATTTGTCCATAAAGTATTTGAAGCAGAAGCATGTGAAGGTTATTCAGACTAATGGTGCATTGAGGAGATTGGGAAGAGTGGAGCAGCTGTTAAACATGTTGAAGGATATAGGAGTTCCGTCAGAGCATATTTATAACTTAAACCTCAAGGTATAATACATAATCTTATTTCTTGTTTTGTATCCAGACTAATCATGATGACAAAAAGCATAATCTTATTTGGAGCAGCCTGTTCAATCTCTTGATGTAGCCGAGTTAATTAATATTCTCCACTTGTCAATTATAGGGACAACGACTTCCATGCCCAATGCATAAGATTTCTGGGTATAAAAGGTATGATGTGTCCCAGTATATGCATATTCGATTTGCCCTTGAGAAGCATTTGAGGCATGGCCCGATGCTGTCAGTTTTCTGGATCAGCGCGAACTATGTCAATTGCATGGAGAATGGTTCCGTTTATCGTTTTTCAGGTGTACATGAATTGGAAGATGAGAAGGAAGGAGAGGATGAGAGAAGTAGGATTAGTCATGCAGTGTGCGTAGTGAGCTTTGGTATTGAGGAGATGGTTCCATTTCTTATGTTTAGAATTGATAAAGCAGGTTGGCCTGAATTTGACCGGGTTGAGATAAAGCATCATGAGCTCGTCCTACGAATTTCGATGGAATCGACTCATTCCTCATGCATGTACTCCCTCCGTCCCCAAAAAAATATAATTCTGCAACAATGTCATGTTTTAGGACCAAGATTGACCAATTATAGATAAAAAAATATAAGTATTTGTTTACACTAAAATTTGGTAAATTTATCCTGGAAAGGAAGAGATCGGCCGATTATGTCAAAAGCAAGAAAATTCCCTAATTAAGGGATATTTATGAGCCGCCAAAAAATATTATTTAATAAATTTGAGAGAGACATGACGTCTTGGTGCATATCAAGATGAAAGAAAAGGACACGTATTAAACAAGGAAGCTTCATCATAAGAACTCTATAAAAAGGGAAATATTAGGGTCCAAGTTATCTTAAATTAGGAATGTTTTCTTCTATGCCGAAGATTGTAATGAGTCGTGCTCGAGTAGGATTCATGTTTGGGCTCCAGGGTATAAATATTGGACCCCGGCTATTATAAAAGACACACAATCAATTCAATACAAGTTACTTACTTTTTTCGGCTCCGGCCACCCCTTAGGAGTAGGAGTAGAGTAGATCTCGGCGAGTTCTTTAACAAGTACGGCTGCATCGATCCGGTCGACCTCCACTGCTTGTCTGTAAGTACCGTCATGGCTTATACCTCTGTTCGTATGGCTGCATCGATCCGGTCGACCTCCACTGCGACTCTGGTATAAGTTAGTTATCGATTATTGTCTAGTTCAAGTAAGGCTACATCGATCCGGTCGACCTCCACTGCTCGAACTAAATTAAGGTCAAGTTATCGGCTCTATCTAAGGGTGGCATTTCTTCGGATAGATTCATTAAGTTACCGATATTGCTTATTGCTTCTATTATTTATTTAATTACAACAATATCATTTCGCCCGATTGGGATTGATCTAGATCGGTCTTATATCTTATTTAACCCATCGTTTGTTAATCTAAACTAATCTAATCTGCACTTTAAACAATGAGGTATGTTTTATCGGTTGTTTTATATCAATCTTGATCGTGCATAGCGTGCGGTTAAGGCATGTCTGATCTTGAGTAGATCTATTGGCTAGCGAAAACTGTTCCATGGCCCGTTATCACGGCATGTGTGATTCTGCCTCACACCCCAATGTTAGCACCATGGAGTGGGGATTGCTATCTGGTAGATCTGTTCCTGAGAGGGCATGACCTTAACTGTATTTATGCCTGAATCGGTTGTTTTAGCCGATATCGAGCGCTTTCACGAATAGTTCACATCACGAGATCGTTGAAGTAGGGATATGATTGAAAGATGTGTTAGCCCTATGATCTTATTATTGTATGACGGCCTGTATGATTCTGCCTCATGCCCCACTGGTCATAGCGATAGATGAGATCTACTATGTTAATTAGATTTATCTTTATTAAACGGTTGAATGGTGATGAGCTGTTTCTTTTATATAAAAAGGGTTCGGTTACTTAAAGTCATTAGCTTTACATAACTAATTATTATTGATATCTTATTACCATTGACTAATGTTTGTCTAAATAATGAGATCTATCCTGAGTGATAACTGATTCTTCTTGCACAACCTCATGAGGTTTAACTGATTTATTCTTATAAATATGCTGGAATTAACTATTTAGTCGATCTCTTTTCATATCGGCTCTCGAGCCACACATTCGGGACTGTCTGGCAACACCGGCAAGTTCCGCCCTAAATTACTGATAAACTTTCTCTCCTTGTCAATTGCAGAGTCAAATTGACTGGCACGTCTCGGGAGGAGTGCGCAGGATCGACCATCCCTGGCTGAAGCTAGGCGGATCTCCAGCTCCATCGAGCGGACCCTTCCGGCTTGCTCGTGTGCCCTCGGCACGGGACAAAATTTTCATATCGACACACATTTCTGGCACGCTCGGTGGGACCCCACAATCGTCATGGCGGTTCACAACAACAACGACATCCTTATGGTACATTATGAAGATCTACCTGATGGAGATAAAGATGTCATCGGCAAAACTATAGAAGAATTTTAGAATAAATGTTTGTTGTCCTACACCAAAACACGTGACAACACAATTGTTCAGAAATTTCCACTACCAAGAGTTCTATTACACGGACAGACATATATAGTTGAAGCTGAAGACAGGCATTTCTTCACGGGAATTGTAGACAAATCTGTTTGTGACGCCATATCAAGCCATAATGAAGCTTTCTTGGACACATTCCACAATGCCATGAAAGAAGCGATTCATGGGTTTCCAATTGGTCAAGTTGGGCCATCTTATTACAACATTCCACATCCGTTGACCCAAGAGACTAATCAAGTTGGTACCAGCCATCAAGAAGCAGCACTAGCTGGTAATGGTGATGTCCAGGCAGTTCAGGGTTTGTCTGAACAAGCTAAAGGTACTACTACGAATCAGACGCAGTATAATCCTGGACCATCAGTACAGCATATGCAACAGCCGGCGGGGCAAGGTCTGAACCAGGTGATTAATTTTGGCACATCAAGCCACATACCATCGTCGGCTCAAAAAATAGCACCATCAATTCAGAAGATTCGTAGAGATATAGATCCTCATGTCTACAATCAGAGACTTTAAGCAGCAAACCAGCAAAGGACCCAGCAGATAGAGATTCCATAGGGGTATCATTATGGTACAGATTGTAGCACCCTTCACATGATTCCGAATCTAGGGTATCGAGGCACAAGGATTTCAATCCACAGATGGGTCAGTAGGTACAGGGAAATCCAAATTCACATGCTGACGAGTTGCTGATGAAGGTGACCGAGATGATGAAGAATCAGTTCGGTCTGAAGCCAAAAGGGCTGACCAATTCGTACAAACGCCCATATCCAAAATGGTATGATTTGGTTGCTATTCCTGCAAATTATAGGCTTTTAGAGTTTGCTAAGTTCACTGGCCAAAACAATACAAGCACGATAGAACATGTCAGTCGGTATCTTACACAATTGGGCGAGACATCAGTTGAGGAGGCCCATCGAGTTCGTTTCTTCTCCCTGTCACTGTCAGGGCCAGCCTTCACTTGGTTTTCATCACTGCCAGTTAACTCCATTGTCAATTGGGCTGACCTGGAAAAGAAATTTCATACATATTTTTATACTAGGACAGGAGAAAAGAAGATTACCGATTTGACAACTATAAGGCAGAAAACTAACGAATCGGGCACTGAGTTTCTTCAGAGTTTCTGAGAGACTAGGAATTTATGCTTCTCATTAAACTTGGTTGATGATCAATTAGCTGCTTTGGCCGTTCAAGGAATGCTACCAATATGGAAAGAAAAGCTGCTGGGATAAGAATTTGACAACCTGGGTCAATTGGCTCAACGAGTGGTGGCGCTCAATAGTCAATTCCAGAGTATACGTAGAGATACCTGATTCCAAAAGAGTACTATAGTAGCCGAAGCTTATAATCCATACTCAGTCGATGACGGCTATGAATACGAAGAAGAAGAGGTTGCCGTGGCTGAATGAAATTGGGGCAAAAAGACAGTAATGGTACCAAATCCTTGGGGAAGAGGAGTCGAGGAGAGCTATGACTTTGACTTCATAAAATCAGACAAGCTCTTCAATTTCTTGCTTGAGAAGGGACAGATCAAGTTGCCCGATAATCATGTTATTTTGCCCCCTGATCAGTTGAAGAATAAGAAGTTCTGCAAGTTCCATAACGTTACTTCTTATTCCACTAATGAGTGCAGAATTTTCCAGCAGCATATACAGAGGGCTATTCAGCAAGGAAGACTCAAATTTGATACGCCTTGAAAAATAAAAATTGATGATAATCCATTCCCAGTTGATCAAAACATGGTCAATGCTAGGCTGCTCAAAGGAAAGACTAAGGTCCTAACATCAACCAAATCAAGAGAAGCTGAAACAGTCGATCCTGAGAAGCAAATATCGACTAACGAATACAAATGAATTAGAAGATGTCGCGATAAGCGAAAGAGCCGATATGAGCATGGAGAAACGTCAAAAGAAGGGGCGATAAAGCCGTGAGTTACATCTCGAATCCTGTTGAATAAATGGCAGCGGTAGAAGGAAAATGATTATCAACGTTGGTTAGAAAAGCAAGAATACCAACATCAATAGGAAAAAGAGAGGTACGAAAGAAAGCAAGCTGAATTGCATTGGAATTGTCCTTTCTTCAGATATTGCTGGAACAAAGGTTTGAAGTTGCCTACCAGGAATAGCTATCCAAAGTGCAGTGATCAATATTGGGAGTTTAGGCAATCTCAAGCCAACCGCGGTCTATCCATGCTCAAGATGCATATCATCATGATAACATGGATCGGCGCTTAAAAAATGGAAGTGTTCATGATCGGCTTAGAAAACGAGTTGTTGATCAAAACATAGGCTGATTATGAAAGTAATGAAGAAGAATGTGTTTGGCAGGAAGGTCAATGGTGTCCAGGAGGTTTGACAAGAAACTAGAAAAGAATAGTACAACGCCTAAGGAATAGAGAGTTGCAACAGACTCAAGCATCTAGTAAACCTCAAGTATGGCGTGCTAAGTAAACAGTTGATAGAAGGCAACCATCGGCTAATATTCAAATGGCTTTTTTGTTGCCATCAGAGTTCAGAGCTCCAGCAGATCAAGAATTTTACTCATATTTTGATGAATCGGAGTATATCATTGTTATGCCAACTGATGCAAGCAAGAGAAGATCAAATTAATAATGATTATTCTAATATATGGAGATCAACTATTTTTACATTGGCTTACTATTCATGGATGCATACATAACATGGATTAATTGAGATCGGCTATTTTACATACGTGAAGGCATTTTACTATCAGTGGCCTTTATTGAAAAGCGGGCCAGGAAGCAAGGAATTGTTGTTTCTTTAAGTTGCCATGCGAGGAAGGTCTTGTCGATGAAGCATTTACTCTCCAAGCTG